ATCAACATAATTTAAGTGTGCCGCAGAAGTTTAATTACAGGTTCAAGTGTGCAATGAGGTAAAAACGGTTGAAAAACACTGCTCTGGGAGCTAGTGAAGTGCCTTGGATTGAACAGTCCTCTGCTTGACGCTGGAAACCTGGGAAATGAAGAATTTGGATGAAGTTTGGAGGAGCGGACAACAGAGTTCCACAGGCAATAGGCATGCAACCCTCCCAACCCTTCTCCATCAATACCTTCCATCCTAGCTTTCTCCCTTGCTCTTTTTCCCACCCCTCCACCAGCCACAGCCACCCCTCCTGGACAAGGGTCTTAGCCCCTACCACGTAAGTAAGCTCAGCAATGTGAACCTTGTCATGTTCCATTCAAACATTCTTAGCACTGTAACTCCATCTAATCAACATCTGTTTCCCATCACTATGATCATTTATCCCAAGTTCTGGTGGGCCAAGAGCCTACCTGCCTACCTCTGAAAATAACGAAGTTGCCAGCTCTCTGAGTAACACTGACTTCTAGCTTCCTGACCAGGATTTGGAGGCCTTGTTGCCTGCCTGTAGATAGACACTTTCCTCTCTATGGCACATGGTGTCTTCTCCAGGTTCAAGCCTGCAGCTAAGTGATACCTCCTAACCTGAAGGCCTGTGGTCTCAGAAGCCAGTATCTCCTTAAAAGTACCTGAACTGATATCCCTACTTAAGGAGCTCCTAGCCTTTTTGGACAAAAAGCTCCCTGTCCAGGCCAGGTGCAGTGGCTCACGCCTGTAATCCTAGCACTCTGTAAAGTCAAGGCCCGTGGATTGCTTGAGCTCAGGAGTTAAAGACCAGCCTTAGCCAGAGTGAGACCCCCATCTCTAAAAATAGCCCGGCATTGTAGCAGGCACCTGTAGTCCCAGCTACTTGGGAGGCTGAAGCAAGAGAATCACTTAAGCCCAAAAGTAAGAGGTTGCTGTGAGCTATGGCATTCTATCAAGGGTGACAAAGTGACACTCTGTGTCAAAAACAAAACAAAATAAAACAAAACCTCCCTGTCCTGTCCTGTCTGTTGAGACAGCCCAGGAAAATGGATAGGATCTTGTCCATAGCTAATGTTGTCAACATTGCTCTGCACAGGGGCTGGCAAAGAATAAGCCCCCAAACACATTTGATTAACGAAAACAATTGCGCACAGCCCTTTCCCATTATGCCCCCCTCCCCCATCACCTGGAGCACATCCAGTTCTCAAGATATTTGGGGCAATCCCTGTTATGTGGCTGAGAGTTTGGACAGAGCCAACTCCATACGGTTTTGATCATGTTATGATCATCTCATGTTTAACTTCTCGGCAAGTCCCCATTCCATGTCACCCACTTCTTCAAAGCTCTGGGAAACTCAGAAACCATCAGAAAACCCTGGGAATAAAAGTCTCACAAAGGAGTAGGACTCCTAATTGGGGAGTTTCCTCCAAGAGCCCTTCTGTAAAAATAAACAGGCATTTCTCTAACCAGAAAACAATTTGATGGCTCATGAAACTTTGTCCAAATGGAAGGACACGGTTCTGTAGTACTAGCTAATTCAGCATGAGTACTTACGAGGTGCTTGGCACTGCTTTAAGTACTATTACTATTATGTTGCAGATGAGAAAACTGAGGTACAGAGGTTAAGTAACTTGCCCAGAATGGATAGCTAGTAAAATGGCAGAGCTAGGGATTCCTACCTGGGCCATCTGGCTCCTGAATATGTATTCTGAATTACTGCACATACCAACTCTCTGAATTGACCTATCATCTAAGTAAAAATAGAGAACAGTACAACAGGGCCAGGTCAGAAGAATTGGCCCATAGAGAATAGAGAAACCACTACTTTTCTGTGCTAGCCATATGCCAGCCTCCAAGCTAAGTCCTTTATTTGCATTTTATCATTGCAACCTCAAACAACCCTATGAGATATCATTAGTACCATTTTATGTATAAGGAAATTAAGGCACAGGGAGATAGAGTGACATTGCAAGCCCCCTCAACTGGTGAGTGACAAAACTGGGATTGCAGCCCAAGTCTGTCTAATGATAGGCACTTGGACTGGAGGGTAGGGGCTGAGATGTCTAGGTGGGGTAAAAAGATTTGGCTCACTAGGAATAGCTGGGGAACAAAACAAGAGGGGACATTGGAGGCCTCAGGTGAAACCCCAGTGCTTGAAGCCAGATATAGAGATTCCCCTGGAGGGCCTATAGCCTCCTGGGCCTCCCCAGCAGAAGGAGAATGGGCTTCCTCAGAACCTCAGAGAGAAAATCTGCTCAGGCTTCACTTTTCCCCACAGTGGCATGATAGAGAAGAGGATCAGGCTACAAGAATACCTGCCTGTGCCTCTTCCCAGGGGAGTAAAAGAGGCCAGGACCTGGTGATGCTAAAAGGAAAGGAGGGATGGAGGCGGGCAACACTGGGCGTCCTGAGAATAGGGGTAGAGGCAGGACTGGGGGTCCTGTGGACAGGGTTTCTGGGGGACAGTGGGCTCTTGGCAGGTGACTGAGGACCTCTGAAGGGCAAAGCATCTGAGGACAGAAGGGACTGGGTCAGACTCCTTTAACACTCACTTGTGAGGGCCACTTCCATTTCCCGAGGGTCCAGAGGCAAGCAAGGCAGAGGCCCTCTGGGGATCAGGGTA